GTTTGGACACACTTTCTCATTTAATTAAAAGAGATATTTGGAAAGTGTGTCCAAGTGTTTTGACTGGTGATTTAAGTTTGCATCGAACGGCGTTCAATCTACACAATTCCAGAACTTGTAGGGTACAACTGACATGTCAAAGCCGATTGCGAGTAACCCAACGCACTCTGAAAATATCCGTACAAAACATGCGTGAGGATTTGTTCATGTAGTGGCAGCAGATGTGCTTTTCTGCGGAAGACTGAGCGTTTGAGGTCAAAGCGACTGTCCGACAGACTGAGAAGACCCTGCCTCTGGCTGTGTTGCCCCCCACCCCCCACCCCCTCCCCTCCTTCCTCGAGCACGATGTTGGCTTGGGGAGAGGGCGGGGAAACGGAGCACGATGTTGGCTTGGGGAGGCCAGGCGCGACCTCGTTCTGACCCCGCTGCTGAGTTCAGGACGGCTCTTATCTCTGCCAGCCTCCCTTCGGTTCGGGCTCTCTGTGGGCGGGTGCCAAATGGTTTTAATCTTTAAAATGTTCTAATCTGTGGTCGTTCCTGAAGCCGTCAGGCTCCCAGGGAGGCCACAGACTGCTCTATAAATATCAAGCACACCTTTTGGCGGGGATTGAGAACTCCTCAGCCTGCTGAGACCTCCTTCCCTGCTGCGACTGCGATATTAGCTGCAGTAAAACACACACACACACACACAGCGAGGAGGTATTGGTTGCATGTGCTCACATTCTAGCAGCTCAGTTAGCCAGCTGAGGGCCTTTACTGCGGTCGCCGTGGTCTCATTGGGTGTTTGTTTGGGCAGGAGTTGCACGTTTTCAAATTGAAGAAAAACCAGGCAGCCCCTGAGGAAAAGCGTGATTTCTCCATGCGGCCATAAAAAAGAGGCTTATTCAGGGTGATCTAAAGAGGTACTGAATAATGTTGAGGTTTAACCACCAACCACGTTTTGCTCATGATTTATTGATTTGATGGGGTTTGATTTTTAAAAATGAGAAATCTAAGCAGTAAGAAAAATGACAAGCAAAATCCAATGGAATCCTCTGACGCTTTAGTGAGCTGCAGAACAGCCAATGGCATTCCAGTGAGATCTCCAAGGGCGCAATGTGGATGTCTCTCCTAACATACAAACCCACCAACCTTATTAGGCTTCTTAAATTAGGCTCCTCTTCAAACAGTGCTAAAAACTTGATTTTAATTAGGCCGGTAGTTGACCTGATCCCCAGCTCCACTTTAATGAGGTGGTTTCTCATCGCACGAGGCTTTACTTTGAACAGAAAAGGGAACACGCATTTTATAGCTCGAACACATTGTTTTCAAACGCCTGAGGTGCCACAAACATTGAAGAATTGAATGTGCATTTTCTAACATGATCACTTCACCCTGAGAGCACATGCTGCCTTCTAGATGCACCAGTTAACATCCACCTGTGGATATGTAGCATCATCCCCACTCTCCTTTTTGTAATGAATTAGTGGAGCACCATTTATCTTCTGTGTGGCATTTCATTATGTGCGTGTTTGTTTCTCGAATGAATGGTACTGATCCACTGATTCTATCAAAACCGACTCCAGTACCTCAACTATACCAAAAAGAAACATTATTAGGAAATCCATTACTGTTTTCCTATTAAGATAATTGCTTAAATTTAACCAAAAAACAATCTTGGCATTATTTTTAAAAGCTCAAGTGAGCTTGTTCATCTATGAGCTCTCACAGATGAACACAAGTCTGGCGGTTTTATATGAGAACACCAATATCACATAGTTCTTTCATGTTTAAGCTAATAAAATGATGTTTTTCTCCCCGGTCTTATGAGGGGAATTTTATTCCTTTGGCTCTGTTACCGGGACAAAGCGTTCTCCACAAACCACAGCCGAGGATCGGCTCACTACATTCCTTCCATCACTCGCATCCTCCTGCCAGACTACTTTGCGTCCTTTCCTCACATTTATCAGACCTCTGGAGCAGCAGTCCGGCTCGTACCCAAAGCGACCGACAGGAAGCCGGGATGATGCAATGCGACGCTGCTCAGACACTTACGGGATTCATCTCATCGGCCCCGGCAACGCGATGCATTGAATCAGCCCGAGACGTTTTAGGGACAACTTAAACTTATTCGGTCTGTACGCGTTGCACTGAGCGATCAACCGTATCGCCGTTGCATGCAAAACCTCCCCTGAGAGCCCGGGAGGGGAGGGAACAGAAGGTTATTATGACATGCTGGTTTTACTTCCCTGCCAGCGTTGCATGGTCACGTGACTCACTGCACACATGAGCACACGGGGCGGCGGTTCTTTGGCTAACTGGTGGTTATTCACCCGTCTTCACTTTCAACCGTCCCTCGTTTAAGACGATGATGTAATTCTGCACCAAAGGAAAGTGTGATAACAAAACTCATTTGATCACTCCAGTGCCGCAGATGTTTTTGCCTTTTTGCACCAAACTTTGCTGGGTAGCGTTGTGCTGAGTCACTGTTCTGTGTTGTCTTACAGTTATAAAAATCACAGCACTCTGCGAGGCACATAGAAGGGCGATCTTTTTATTATTGAGCTGTGAATGTGTGTTGTTTTTGAATCTAATCGCCACGTATGTAAAGGATTTTGTTTTAACACAACGTAACTGTGCAGTTTATCTGACCTCCGAGGCCTGAAAGTAACTGCGCACGCAGAATCCCAGCTGTGTTTTGTTGAGGTGTGGTACTGCTGGGCACACTGGAGGTACTGGTGGGCACCAACTGCTCTACGGGCAGTTTCGCTGTGATTTAGTGTACTTGAAGAACAATACTTTCCCCCACAGCTTTGCTCAAACCATTTTTTTTTTAGTTGAAGGGAAGTCATGACACATACAACATCTTTGTTTTGTGTAACCCTAAAATCACCAGTGTGCAACCACAGGAAAAACAAGTATTTCTCGATCATCAGAACTCAATGTGAAGTGTCAATGTGCAAACCAGTCTGCACCGGCTGCGCGTTGACTGCTGCAGTGTCCGGCCGATTGCGTGGATTAGACTGCACGTCCTCCGTACGCAGTCACCCTGCCGTGTAAATGAAACGCACCCCTGTCGTGTCCTCGAGTCCCCGTCGCACACGTCCACCATATCAGCTCAGCGCACTTCACGTTGTCGACTTTGATGTTCACAGGCGGGTGGGGTTGGGGGGTTATTTCTTCTGCTGGGGCCGGGGGGAGATTACCTGCTGGATGACCGCCTAGACACGCCCACAAAAACAACCACACACATTGTAGTTGTTGATAAGACGTTTGGAGGTGAATCAACTCCTCAGGGCGACATTTCTCTGCTGTTCTTTTAAAGTTGTGCATTGGACGCCGGTGTCAAATGTCTGGTTGACTTACTCACTGACAGTCTGACCTCTTGGCTGTCCTTCGTCTTGTGTGGATTTCATTGTCAGTCTCGGATCATCAAGGCGTTGCTTGCAGTCATGCGCTCACTCAGCAGATAACTGTGCGTCCGCCCCCTGCTGGATGAGTAAAGAGCTGCAGGCTCTCTGGCTTTGAACACGGCGTGGTAATGTGGGAAAACACACACACACACACAGACACGTGTCAATCTTCTGTTGAAAGGAGACTATAGGGGGGCAAATGTAGCACTGAGTGAAGCCTGCTTGCAAGAAGTTGCTCCATCTGGTCGTCTCTTGAGACACCTTGAGACCGGATGTGTGTGTTTCTGTGGCTTTGGACGTTGTAGATTGAGGTATCTCTTCTTTTTAATAACTGTTGCACATCAATGATCAGGACCTTATGGCCGTCTGGCAAATCTGCATTTCTGTATCATTGTCCTGAACTGGTTGTCAGGTACCTATAAAGTACAAGCCGACTGTGTCCTTTGTACAACAATCTGCTTTTGGGGATAAACTGAGCAGCTGTCGTAGGGCCAAAGATTTTCAGGCGTAACCTCGTCCATGCAAACTTTAGGTGCCACGTTCCGTGCCTGTTCATTTTGCACACGGACGCGCTGTGCCTTGACAGTTTGAAACGCTGTTATAGCCCCCAATAAAAGTTTTTTTTTTTTTTTTTAACTGATTTGTTCCTCATAACATTTAGATACTGGAATGTAGAGCCTGTACCGTGACGGAGGCTTTCATCCATGACGCCCACGCTGTGAAGACACTTCATCAGGACCACAGCTGAATTGTCTTCTGATTCGCACAGAGGGGGAGCTGCTCCAATATGGTCTCATATTGTTAGGCGATGCCAAAGTATGTAAATGTTCACTGATGGCCGGCTCCAGATCATCTACTCCAGCACAAGTAATGGATACAGGTTACGTGTGTGTGTGTGGCTTTTTAGGGGAGCAGTTGGTTCAGGTTTCCTTTGGCGAAGAGTAACGGAAGTTTTCACTGAAGCGCTTTAATTTGTGGAGCCATCTGGGGGCTGTGTGTGTGTGTGCGTGCTGACCAGATGTTTCTGGAAAAGGATTGTCAAGGGTTTGTCCACCCGCTACTGAGAGGAGTATGAGCCCAGTCACGCCAGGTTTCCATGGCAGCAGCAGATGTTTTCAAAATTGTTTCAACCAGAATTCCATAAACAGGCGTTCAGAAAGCGAGCGCGTGTGTTTGTGTTGGCTGTACTGCTTTTTCTCTTTAACATCTCTTAAGCAAAGCTTAACGTGGAGGAAGAGCAGAGGAACCTTTCCCTTTATTGCGCTGACAGGGAGGACGTTTTAAGCCCAACTCTCGGCTGGCTCTGTAGCTGCTTCCGTGGCGGATAGTTTGGGTCGACTCAGATCGGTACACTCTCCGACAAAAAGTAGTTTCTATACATTTTTAAACCGGATTTGAACTAACCACATTTCCACCTCTAGAGCAGCGCTGGATGAAAAATGACCTAGTTGTCTGTTCACCAGCACGACCCCCCCCAACCTTCTGCCCCCGTTTGGACAGGCGAGGCGATCCCTTCTGTGCATCGCGACACTCAAAATATGAGCTGACACCAGTCTAACAGGTCGTCTTGTCCTTTCTTTCCCTCTCTATCATCTTTGTCTTCTCCAGAAGGAGTTTGCGGTTCCAGCCCCCCTCCTCTTCAGGAAGATGAGCACCCCCGACCTGTCGCCCGCGGCGACCGCTGCCACCAAGTCTAAACTGCACCGACAGCTGAGCCAGGACGAAAGCTGGGCCCGACGCAGCAGCATGGGCATGACCGGTAACACACACAGACACACACGCACCCCTTACTCCAAGGTGTCCTGGCTCTGACGGAGGCTTACAGCCTCCACCCAAACAGGGCCGATGTTACCTGCTGTCATCCTTTGACTCCTGACCTCTCGCTCTCTTAATCCGTCACCAATCCGCCGCATCCGTGATCTGGAGTGAAGTGAATATTTGACCCCGGATTAACCGCCGCGTGTCACTAAGCGCAGGGCCACGTGACGGCGTGTGAATCAGATGTGAATCAGCGGCTTAGAAATGCACGACCGGTTGGGTTTTCCCCACAAAGCCCGGTTTGGTCCCCATGTTGCTTTCGGGTTCAGTAAATTGACGGCTGCGTCGGGGATGATTAATGTGAACTTGATCCAGCATGAATCTCATCCAGTCGTTCAGGGTGGAGGCCAATAATCCAACAATGAGTCACTGAGTGGCGGACGGGTCTACGGGGGATTGCATTCCTTCGGTCATTCCTTTTTTTGGCCCCCTTTCCCCTCACAGGTAAGCAGTTGCTGCCTCTGTCCAGCAGTCTGCATGCCGGTGTGAGCCAGCTGGCCTGGCAGGGGCCATCTGGAGGGCCCGGAGCCATGAGCGCAATGTCTACGGGAGGAGAGGGGAACAACCTGGTCCGCATGAGGAGCCAAAGCTTGGGGCAGTCTGCGCCATCTCTCACCGGCCTGGTCAGTGCACTCACTAACGCAACGCAACACACACACACACACACACACACACACACACACACAGAGCGGAAAAGTCCTCGTCACCATAACAACTTATTTACTGTTTTCCATGATATCATCAGCAGAAAATGTTAGCCTCCAAAACTTTAACAGACACAAACAAGCTTATTCCAGACCTTATTGGGTCATCAGCAGGCAAATGGCACCAAAAAAATGCAGATTTTGCATGATTTAAAAAAAAAACAATTTAATTTCCACTTATTTGGCCTGCACACAGTGAGGCACTTAACATCCACAGACTTTGCTGAGTGCGAAGTGAAAGAAATCGAGCAGACGTGTGCGTGTGCGTGTGTGTGTGTGTGTGTGTGTGTGTGTGTTTGCTCGCTCGCTCGCTGTAATGGTTGGAGATGCAGCACAGTGGTCGTGCTGACCTCACACGACTGTAGTATTGATGAGATGTAGTATTGATGAGGGTCTGTAGCCTGTGTGCAGGTCACAGCTCCTCTCTGACCCCTGGTGGTTGTAGAAGGGATCACTGGAGGAGCTCCGCCTGTGATTATTTGTTTCCGGTGACCTAAGCATATATCCATTACAGCTCCACATGCATTGTGTGTTGTGAGGTACTTGCCTTCTTTCTTTGAGGAGGTATTTACAGAGTGATTGAAGCTGTGTTTGTATCTGAATATGCACCGTCTGTGGTTGTGTGGGATTTATTGCCAACAAATAAACATATGAAAAAAGGACGCATAAATAATAAATATAAATATAAGAAATTATTTCAAATTTCAAGTGCCAACTAAATGTGTTTTTTCCTTATTTCTTTTTAGTTTAAAGTAGACCGATGGTATATTCTCCCCACCCAATGATGTTATACATTGCTAATGAAATGGAACGTTATTTTGACACAGTCCTGGAGCTCGATTGCCCGTTGAGTTTCCCTGCTGCTGAGACATGGAGCATGCTTTAAGCCTGTTTATAATCCCAGCAAAATAAAAGCCATAAAAGCCATCCTGATTGAGATCAACAAATATGCACGTCATATAAAATGCATATATAGATCAAATGTAGATGATTTATAGAGGGTCACGTTGGGAGGAAAGACGGTTCAAGCCACTGAGGAAGAACCACCAATAGGTGGCGCCAGTGTTTAAGGAGAGCAAACCTCCCCACGTTTTCTCTCATAAAGTCTCGAATGCCACGGCAACCGTGTGTGCTAGAAGTTAAAATCCCATCCATCTGCAATGAAACATGTATCTCGTTCCACCGACCTTGTGTTAAGCCCCCCCGCTGTCTCCCAACCGTGACGGCGCCGCCCCGTGGATTCAGAGCTGGAAAACATGATCACTGGCTGTTGTGTTCCTCAAGGGCAGGTTTGTGAATGTTTTCCCCTTCCTGTGGCCGAGCGCCGTCCTCGCCTCTCAGGCCGCTGGTGCTCCTCAGGTCACGGCTGTCAGTTTTTACATTACTGGGCTCAAAGCGCCATCTCTCCCTGTGAATTGACTTGCATGAGGATTTAGGAAGAACACCTGAGACTCTCCGGTTCATCTTTTTCTCTCTCCCTATCCTGCTGCTTCTCTTCTTATTGTCGGTGTCATATTTTGTGAAATAATGTTTTGGTAGGGGAGGATTTTTTAAAATCTGCTCTCTGCTTATGCTCTTTTTTTTTTTGTGGTGTGCTGCTTCAGATCATTGTGTAGCCACTTTATTGAGCACGCATTTACAATATAACACAATCCAACACGTGACAACGTGTTGCCGCCCAAGCATCTGCCTTTATCCATGTAATATCTAATACATCAGGGTTCACTGAGCACTGCTTATCACCTGGCCCTTCTGGACGCGACATCCCTCTAATCACTCTGATGCGTCTGCAGAAGTGCATTAGTGCATGAGGATGTACCCCCCCCCACCCCCCCACGTTGTGTGGATAAAAAAAGTGTGCGTTACCACCCGGTATGGGTAACTGGACGAGAACCCTGTGTGTTTGTGTTCTTAGCACCTGTGTTGCCACCGTGTTCTGAGTGCTATAGTGTGTGTGTGTGTGTGTGTGTGTGTGTGTGTGTGTGTGTGTGTGTTGGGTAAAACATTTGCAGACGTCCAGATGGTGTTTACCTCTTGACTAATGGATGAGGGTCGCTCCTCGCTCCTGTTTCTCCTCTCTATCTCTGTGACACACTTAAAGTGCACTTGTGTGTGTGTGTGTGTCCAGACAAACAACCAAAGGGTTGCCAGGTAACTCGTACACATACCAGGTGGTTGTGTGTGTGTGGCCAGGGTATCGACACACACGCACATCTGAAAAGAAGAATTCTTTTTGATTCTTGTTGATGCCCACAGTGTCTGAGTGCTCGCTTCTCTTTGCAGCTTCATACGCTGCGGAGGTGAAACTTTGCAATAACACACAGAATTAACCATTAACGTTGGTTTTGTAGGGGAGCAGAAAGAAGAAGAAGATAAAGAATTGAAAGGCTGCTGGAAGGAGGATACAGGGCTGAACATGAAAGGGGTGCTGCTGTATTGCAGCCGGTGCTCAGGCACATCATTAACGGTAGTGAGACTCTGCTGGGAGACACACACACACACACACACACACACACACACACACACACACACACGGTTTGAAACAAGATCACAACCACGTCAATGACCATAAATAATGTGTTGACTCATTCACGGTCCCACAGCAACATTTGGGGAAAATAATTGTAATGTTGTAATGTGTTGAGACTTTGTAATCAAATAGGACAGCACTGTACGGGGAAGCTGAAACATCCACATCAGGAATCCTTAAAGGCACCTCCGCTTATCTTCACCAGAAGTAAACGCAGCTGCTCTGTGACGGCAGTACTAGCCAATCAGAGGCAGAGTGGGGCGGGTCTAGTTAGGCAGGTGGACGAGAAGACGCGTCTTATTGCCCGTGTGCCTTTGCTTTAACCTTTGACCTTAAAGGAGTAGGTCAGTGTCCTGGAAAATATGTCCGTACACCTTTTATTTTTGTAGATGAGGAGATTGATATGAATCATAGATGGTCATATTCCCAAAGGTTATCACAATTCAGACGTTGAAGAATGATGGATACGTTTTTACTCTCTACACAATACCGTTGCGTTCCTTGAGGACGTGCTCGCCACGCGGAATGGATGGGTCTGTTACATTTTCATATTTTGTACTATGGATTGCTTTTGACATCTTGTTTCCCTACTTTCATCCCACCCGGGTGGGACGAGCCGTTGTCTGGGAGAAGTTTGGAACAAAGTGAGCAGTGTTCACAGTCGGCGGTTTGTGAAGCACACCTGCAGATGTTTTGTCCAGGTGTGGTGGTTGCTGTGTAGACGGGAGATAAAAGGATACACCGTCATCCAAAACTCAACTTTTGACTTTTGAATTTGAGTGTTTTTGTCTTTTTAGCACCAATAGTTTTTTTTTGTCTTTCAACGTTTGTACGACACAAAGTTGTTGTCCCAATGCTCAGTCCGTACACTCATCTTTACTGTTAAAAGCGGCATGTTTTGAGTTGGAAGCGTCCACCATCTCGTGTAACACCTCCCTCAGTGAAATAATAAAGGCCTAGAAACATACAAAACTGATAGTTTAAGAAGACTACAGCCGTACTACAGCCATGCTAGTGGCTAGATTCTTCTAGGGTGCTCAGATACATTTTGTATCAGGCTCTTGTTTTCATATTCCAAAATTCACATCAAAGTCTCACAACAACTTCACTGAACTCTGCTCTTGAAGGTCACTGTGGTGCAGACGTGGTGGTCGTCGTTGCACAACACTGCCGCTACGGTTGCTTAAGTTCAAAGACTCAAATCATCTGAATTAAGGCTGCGGCACTAAAACAGTGCAGCACTTTTGGTCAAAATCAGGCCAGTAAACACGTGTGTGTGTGTGTGTGTGTGTGTGTGTGTGTGTGTGTGTGTGTGTGTGTTTTTGTGCGTGTCCCTCAGAAGGCCGCTTTGTTCTTTGAGAAAGGCACAGCAGAGCAGAAGTGCATTAAGAGCATGATGACTCATGCTAAAGGTTGGACTCTCTGAGGAGATGGGGAACAGAAAGAGTGTGTGTGTGTGTGTGTGTGTGTGTGTGCCTGTTTTGATTGTCTAATCTTATCCTTGCATATCTTCATGTCTGTCCTGCTTATTTTCACATTCACTTGAGACACACACACACACACACAGCTCTTTATCTGACTGCGGGCTGCAAGTTGTCCTTGTCATGAGCATGATTCATCGCTAAAGGAGGAGACCATGTTCCTGTACTATTCTTGCTTCACCTGCCGGCTAAAAGCAAAGACACTGCAGACAAACCCGTCCGCTTTAAATGTGCACACACACACCCACCGTAGACTGTATAGAGGAATATACACACATGATGGACACAAATTTCCGGGAAGAACCGAAATGGCACCTTCCGAGTGCTGCATGTTCTTTGAATCGGTCGACTCTTTCGACCTTTGACACCGCCTGCGTAGATGAGGAGAGCTGCTCCGTTTGTGGGAGGCGTTCATGAAGGAGAAATCAGTCACGTATTCTACAGCTTCTCTGACTGCTTCTTTCACAATGTTTTCTGACCAATTCAACCTGTAGGAGCGGTCGGTAAAATCAACGCGCATTTGCTCGTATTGTCACTTCAAAATTCTTTATTTATTGTTCGGCAAAAACAACCTAAATCACAATCAAAATAAATGAGAATTCAATGCCTAATGCGTAATGCGTAATGCGTAATGCGTAATGCGGTCAAAAATAATATCTCCTTCCGCTCTCGAAATAGAAAAACTCACCTGGCCTTACTCAGGTGACATTTAAATAGCCGACGCCCCCTGACGTCATCATTACATCATCACAAATCAATCAAATCAACAGAAAAGGCAGTTTCATTGTGCACGATACAAATGTAGTGGAATGGCTTCTACACTCCGGCCCCTAATTGACCGGTAGAGGACAATTCATACATTTAAACATATGAAGCACATTCTTTAGAGTCCTTTGTCTCGTGTCCAT